TTCCATCTTAAGGTAACCTCGATGATGGAAGCAGTAAGGTCCTCTGACGCGTAGATAAACTCCTCCAAGGTTTCATGACGGAACAACCCAGAAGACAGCCGGGTTAAAAAATAAATAAATAGGAAGGGAAGTGGTTGATCTGTTCTGCTTCATACAGAGATCGTTACGTGAATATTCATAATGTTTCACAGGTGGGAAAATGCAAAGTATGAATTTTTTTGGAAGAAATCTGTCGTCAGTAATAAAAGTATTTCTCTGCACTTCTAATCTTACTTTTGTGGACTCAAGAAGGAATAACGAAAAGCATAACGATCCAAACTCGTGTTTCTGCACCTCCAACACAGGTTTTGCGGCTATAAAATCTGTGATCCAATTATTGACATAGGGATAATGCTTTTGAAAAGATAATAATGCCACTTTGCAGCGTAAAAGAGAAACCAGAGCAGATTCTTGTTTCAGATTTTGTTTGTACGTTGAGCGAATTCTCACAGCAGGGTAAATATTGATTCAAATATCGTACGAAGAAGAGGGTGAGGTGAGTTAGGATGAGCGAAGGCGTGTTGGGTGGTAACAGAAAGGGACGGTGGCTTAGGAATGTTGAATTCCATTGCTTTCCTCAACCGCAGATGCTTTAACATCGGAGTGGCCGATGAAATAAGCTGGTATCGAACAGCATCGCCGTACCGGCACGGGATCCGTATCTTCCTTTCATTGTCCCAGTTCTCTTCACCCTGAGTGCTCGTGGCTACACGAGGGCTTTCTTACCCACTGCCATTCTGTCAGAACCATTTGCAATGTGTAGAGCTGTAACTTTTACTTTCAGACCGTCCAAGGCCTGGACATGTTGCAGACAAACGACCTCGCACACTGAACGCGACACGATGATGACAGGCCGATAATGTGACACCCTAACGTACTGTGCCGTCTTTCACTCAATCGCGAACATTTCGGCACCGAAGATAACTTTGCGGAGTTTTGTAGTACGTATTTATGCACCATAAGTGATATACCTTAACTCCAGTCATTTCTTTGAACTTGTTTTTGTCATATTTTAAAATAATTTAGGTCTGTTAATGCTCTGATTCAGTTCTCTGGTTGCAATAAAACTGAATATTGCGACGGGTTAAAGATTTAGGCGGCTAGCAATTATGGACAGCAGTTACATTAAATCAGTTTCACGACACTAAAAATTATTCTTTCGTCAGAGTCATAAAATAATAATGACCAACTATTTTAAAATGAAACTGATGATTTATGACGTTGCTGTGTACTGACATCAGAAGTTTTGCAAGAACGGGTAAAGAAGGTGTCGTATACAGTCTGAAACCTTCAGCTTGTTATAATTCGTGTCCTCTTACGTTAACGTCGATTACTCACTAAACAGAAAGAGTCTCATCTTGTATAAAAAAAACAATTTATCTTTATCTAAATTTAATTTTTTTGTAAATATGAGTGCACAGAAGTATCTATATTTGTTGTGTATGTATGTTTACGTAAAAAGTTATTAAATGCAACTGACTACCTATGTCTTGTGTTGAGCTACGCACTCAGTACCTATATCATCATAAATCATCATCATCAACAACATATCAGAAACATAATTCTGTGTGACAGCAGCGTTAATGTTGAAATTACCGATATTTTTCGTGCACAGAAATTGAACCCACCGAAACATAAAACCAAATATCGCATTGTCAAAACTGGATACAAATATAAAACTTGGGTTAGGGAGTGACTGCTCTGTTTCTCTTAATTCGATTTCCGGTAGCAGTTATGGCGCATGCTAGGTGTTTCTGAGACAGTTTAATAGCTATTGTGTGGTCATGTACCACAGTTTGATTAGAGATGCAGTGTATAATCATTAGTTTCATGCAGAGCAATTTGGTTTGTGCACAACGCACTGTTATGTAATATATTTGCGCATAGGACTTAGTAAGTAATAATGGGGCCAGGATACAAGACATTCCTCTCAATTAATTTGGATAACATAGATGCAATAACGTAAGACTGAAGCATAAACTGTAACTAAATTAATTTAAAGAGCATACATAATGGGGCAATGCTAGAACAAATTATTATTTTCAAATAAAAGTCATTTTTAAGAGATTGTCTTTGGCCGAATCCGTGATATTTGGTTGGGTATCTTTGATGTGTAATCAGCCCCTCGCAAGGCCATCACCTGCACTGGAAGACAAGGACAGAAGTCCATGATGTGAATAGGATTGGAACTCAAAAGCCACGACCCAGACCGTGCGGAGACTGTGAACTTAAAACTTTTAACTAATATAAGACGCTCTAGCCTATAAATTTCAAAGGTAACATAATAGTACTTAAAGGTTCAAGAGATGTAAATATATTCATCTTTCCAACGGTTTTTCTGACTTTTATGGCTATTTATTTCGCCCACAAATAAATTGTTTTAGGGCTAATTACATTACAGCTACCATACTGCAAAAAGGAAAATAAAAGTTGCATTTGATTTGTTAATTATCCGGGATATTAAAATTCTTTAAATGAAGATTGAACACCACAAAATCAGGTGTGTGTATACAGCCTATATTAAGTATGCCACATTTTAAAGTATTCATTATTTTCCATTATATGATTATTTTGTAGTGGATTCTGGTGACGATACATGAATATATACATAGGCTTCCCTTCCCTTCCGCTTCGTTACTGGGACCGTGGGTTCGAATCCCACTCAAGCCATGGATGTATGTCAGCCTATATATATATATATATATATACAGTTACTTACAAACAATAATACATGAACATTAAAATTACATTTGTGCTTCAAATAACATACCTATCGGTTATAACTGAACATTATATACCAAAATTAGACTTTGCCTGCACGATTTAATAGGGGCTGGCAAACTGTCAAATAATTTAAGACATTAAAGATTAGACTAGACATTCACACAGGACCTCCTAGTTACGCGTTTATTTTATGGGTGTTGTGTCAATTTAGTGTTACGCTCTTACGTACCAGGCCAAGGCACATTTATTTATCAGTGTCCACTGTATCAGAATGTATGACAAACACAAAGCGAATAAGATGCTTAATTACGCAATAGTTAGCCGAAAATTTACATAAATCTATTAATTATAATTTAGTACATCAAAATTAGTGCGGTTCTTTACACGTAACAAAACGTAATTAAAGTGACTCTCGTGTTAATTATTTGATGTGCAACGCTAATTACAGTAAAACTGAAATAGAACGATAAACTTTACGGTATATTAAACCACATACACTGTTGGCGTTTCAGATAGACCAGCTTCTATATTCAAACGGCGGTTAGACGCTGAATTAATGATAATTTTAAATATGTGAAAATAAAATATCCCACTCTTAGTTTGTAATGTGATGCAGTTAGAGTCATAAAACGTTATACGACTATAAAACAATTATTAGACAGCCACAATAACGTATTTTTGTTAACATAACTAAACAAAGTGCCAACATGTTACAGGATCGAGAGAGCTATGTTACTTACTAACGAAGAAAAATATCTCAAGGTGTTTTATAGCCAAAGATCCAAAAAATAGAGAATATTCTCGGGCCAAATAATGAGTGTTGCTTAATTTTGCTTAATTTAATCAAGACCAATAGACAGAGATCAAAATATAAAATTAGTGACCTGTTTTATGCCAAATTGTGTTCGTCTCCGTATTTGTAGCAACGCGTACTATTGTAGTTTTACTCCCCTATCTTCTATGGGAGATCGCCATTAAATTAAAACTTTCACGGCCGAGTGATTTGCACTCCTGCGTCGTATTCCGGAGGTCACAGGTTGAAGGTCCACAGACATGACTGAGGTTCGTTTTTATTTTCCTCAGTCCCTCCAGGCAGATAAGGGGAAAGTTCCTTCAATTAGGTCACATTCGCTTCCTTTCCTATCTTATCCAGTCGTTCGACGCTGTATAGTCTGAACTACTAACTAAACCACTAATAAAATAAAATACAAATATAAATACATTCTTTGTTTGTGTACACCACCTTTCGATAAACCTTCTTTTCGCCGTAATTTTAATATCACTTCTTCTTACGACTTTCACTGAAGCATATTTGTAACAGTTGCAGTAGACAGGTTTAATTGTCAGTTTATCTATTTAACGAGACACATGTTTCGCGAATTACTGTTTTCGAGGTACACTGGCCTGCGGTTAGTATTGGATTGGAACGGTATCTGCACAACACGCGTGGACACGTGATAATGACTGGCCTTTGCGGAATTCTGTGTCGGAAATTTCACGTGAGACGAAAAAAAATTGTACAGTTGTTTCATCCACTGAAATATCTAAATTGAAAGTATTGTGCAGTAAATTCTCATGCACAGACATAGAGTAAGGAGGAGTCAATACATAATTATAAATAGATAAGAAATATAAGTAGATAATCCAGTTAAGTTTAATATTCTGGGAACATCATCATTTACGCAAATGAAACAGCTGTTACAATTAAAAAGGATTACAGCTTATAACAACATTTTCAGACTGATATACTTTTAATTTTTAGCCACTTTGGCAACTAAAGCACACATAAATATACATACGCACATACGAACACACAAATTCACTTGGTTTCTTCAAGTGATATACCATAAATAAGTAGTCTGCAAACTTTTCCTATTAATTAACTATTCATATCTTTGTCGAATGCCGCAGGAAGAATTAATCATTTATTTAAATCCGCATTTTAAAAGTTAAAGATTGTAACTGGTATTCACTTCGAAACGAAAGCTGTATTTCTCCATAGAACTGAACTAATAATAATTTCTGAATAAGCCTCCAACGCACTCAGGGATCATTGATCTTTAAATAGTTATGAACAAATTGTCCGGATCGGAGTTTTTTGGGACTGATTAGCTTCGCACGAATGAATGTCGCATAGGACACCATAAAATTCACCCATGGAGTAACATTACGCCTGAAGAAATATATTCATGCACGCAACGTTCAAAGTTATTATTAGGCTTCAGATATTTGAGCTTGCAGCACACTTTAGTAACTGCATTAAGCTATTATCTACCATGGCCCACAGAGGGCACTGATTGCTTTTTAAGATGGCTGTTTTCTGGGCTCTTGCACAGAGTAGTCTGGGATAGTGGATTTCAACCTGGGGTACGCGTTACCCCGGGGGTACGCGAAGACATATTAGGGGATACGTGAAATTAAAAAAAAAAATTATGATAGACACTGAATAATCAGTAATGGAATTTATTTAATTTATTTTAGATGTAGATTATATACTATGTATAACTTAAATTATACAACAACAACTTTGGGGGTACAAAGTTGAAGAGAAATTATATGTGGGGGTACATGAACAAAAAAGGTTGAATACCACTGGTCTAGGAGACATGCTTTCGGCTCGTAAGACCATATACAAGGTTAAGGCGCTACTAGATGCATCATTTGAAACGGATAATACGAGGTGCGATCGGAAAGTTTCAAGACTACGGGGTGCGGCCTACATTCATAGTGAATCAGTGTGCCAGCCGGCATCATCGAATTAGCATTTGTTTCTTAGTTACGGGCGTTTTGGTAGTGCATTACACCGACCCTCCTGCGATTTCGGAATGGCGTGTGCATCAAATTTTGCCAAAGACTCGCCAAAACGGCTACGGAAACCTATGAAATGCTAAAGCAAGCATTTGGGGAGTCCGCAATGGGTCGTGCACAAACTTTTGTGTGGCATTTACGTTTTAAAAATGGCCGAACCTCTGTCGATGATGACGAGCGTTCTGGACGACCATCTTCGAGCACAACGCTCGAAAATGTTACGAAGATTCGGCAGGCCATTCACGAAGATCGACGTCGTACCCTCAACGACTTGTGCGACATTGTTGGGGTAGGCTATGGGACCTGTCAGCTGATTCTAAAGGACGGAAGCGGCCGTCAAAGTGGCGCAACCACAACTGGCTGCTGCATCATGACAACGCGCCAGCGCACACCGCCCTCAAAGTTCGGCAGTTTTTGGCCTCAAACACTATGGCCGTCATCCCGCACCCTCCTTATTCGTCGGATTTAGCTCCGTGTGACTTCTTCCTCTTCCCCAAGATGAAAATTCAGCT